AGACGGGGTAAACATTTGATGGCCACTTTTCATCGCAGTTTTCTAGTCAATCTTACTAGATCTTCCATTATTCTAAAATTCGCTGATCATTTCTCTCAAAACTACGTCAGGATACAAATTAGAACTTAAACTAATATTACACAAAATTGCAAGACTATTGAACTCATTTAAAGCTGTCTAAAGCGAACAAGAAATACAGAAAACATTGATCGTTTCCCAACGATTTGATGCTCTGGGAATTCTATTGTTTGCTAATGACCATAACACCAAATTCTTTCGCACCATGCACGGTCTGATCTCGCTTGGCCGCTTTCCGATTTACTCCCGAAGCATGGTAATACACAGTTTTTTTTATTCAAACGTGGGACGTTTGTCACAACTCTGTATTACTATTTTTTCAAAAATCCCCACAAATGGAGGCATCCAGTATATAATTATGTGGTACGAAGCATTTTAGTGTTGAACGCTCTGCAAGGCTAAAATTATTTTCTAAACGAAAACACTGAATATTTCATCATAATCACGTGTTATGACGTCCTATCTCACTAAAAACTGCATCAAACATTAATTCAATCTTTATGTGACTTATGTGCAAAAAAGATTTGCAATCGGATAAAACACGTTTATGCACCAGCGTTCCAAAAGTGGAAGGTAGCGGTCAAGCGTGGGGGGGTCCAGCCACCTTAATGTTGCTTGATGCATCGAGTTCCAAAACACAGTAGCCGCTATCCAAAGAGTTCTTTGCAAGGGCTGTACGGCTTTTAGGAGGAGGTACCTGAAGTTTATCATTATTACGTAAATCTAAAGTAAATCTACTTAGGTATAAGATCATTTGTACAGAAGAGTGAAGTCCCTAAACTTAAGAAGACATCAAATGTTGAAAGCATAAACCTTGATATCTCTAGGATGCATCACTTAAATGATATAACGATATTTTACCATTCAAATTTTTATTTCATGTAGAATTGAAACTGAAAATATTGGGTTAGGGGCGTTGAGCACTTTAAACGTCGACGTATACACATGAACAAATTTCCTATTCTCTATAGAATTCGAATTCTGCACGCGAAATGAAGTTCTGAGCTGTTATGTTCAACAATAAAATAACTAAGTGAACACAATCGCTTTCAAAGTTAGCGTCCAACAAGTCCAACAAATGACGTATTCTGCAAAGTTTCCCAAAGTATGAGACTAAATCGGCTAATCTGATAATCCAAAGACAAGTAATTGTCAGTTTGCACCCCAAGGTCTCTAACTGAATCAGCTTGGAATAGGTCTTTGCCCAGGAACTCAAGAGGGGATATACGGTAGCTCTGTGTTTTAGCTTTTCCGCAGTTCCAAATTAAAACATAGAAGTTCTTCTGGCGCGGGTTTATCAAGAGATGTTTGGCATGTTTGTTCCTGTTCCTCGAATACATATTTTGACAGTACTGCGCATTTCTTTAATTCTCCACCAGAAAATAACCGGATCGATAACACTGACAGCCTTGGCCAAAGTGTTAAAAATTGGTAACCATATACGGATTATCGATAGTGATCCTGACTTACGAATGCCAACAATCGAAATCATTGCTAAAAACGGAAAATAACACAATACAAACGCACCGGCCACATAGTACATGGTATTGACGGATTTCTTGTATCTGGGCATGTTTATAGACTGTACTTGTTGTACTGATTGTTGTTGGGCGTGGATCTGCACAGAGTGTCGCCGGATGACTCGAGAAATTTCAAAAATGAATATTGCATTCACAAGTAGAATGACATAAAGTATTGGTATAACAATGGCCATAGAATTTTTCATTTGGAATAGTAAGCAACACATAGAGAAACCTAACAACCATATTCCTGCAAGGGTGACACCATAACGTTTGGATGTGACAAGTGCTTGATATCTGAGATGAAGATGAATAGCCAGGAATCGATCTACAGTAATAGCTGTGAAAGTCAGGAAAGACACGATGGATAGGAAAAACGAAAATGCAAAGTATACTATTTGTATTGAGTTTTGAAGCCCAAAATAACCTTTTAAAACAGAAATATCGTAAATGTAAGAAAGAGGCTGTGCAATGATACCAACACATAAGTCAGCGATGGCCAGACCAAGAATAAGAACGTTCGAAGGTTTTTCTCGTAAAGATGATGTCTTTATGAAAGTCAAAATAATCAACGAGTTCAGAGAAACAGCCCCGAAAGCAAGCACAACATTGATGATGATAAGCCACAAAGTAAGCATCTTGTATTTTTGGTGAAAAACAATTGAACTCGTTGTCGTTCATGGCCAAGTAGAAGCATTCATGATTGACATTTGCTCCGACAAGGTCGTGTTATTCAATCTTTGTAGTTTTTTATCCCAGCAAGTGTAAGCTTAAGAATTAAAGCGTTTGTTCGAAATAAACAGGTGTCCTTGATTATATTCGTGTTATTCAACCTTTGTAGTTTTTTTATCCCTGCAAGTGTAAGCTTAAGAATTAAAGCTTTTGTCAAGATAAACAGATGTCCTTGATTATGACGTTTTCATTTCATTTAGCTTAAAATAAATTAAAAATTAAATTTGTTTCTTTAATTCATTCTAGTTTCTTTACAAAACCATCTGTTCCAAATCGAAGAAACTGTGAATCTGCGAATAGGTTAAGAGAGGATGTCAGCAAGAATCGAACATACGCCGGAAACGGTCGAAAAATCGAATTCGCTCATAGTTTAATATTAGGAAGACTTTGAGGCAATATAAACAGTGATATACTTTATCTGTCTGTCCTTTTGTTGATGATAGAGAATAACCAATCAGCGCGCGAGAAATTTGTAAGTTATTGTAAAATAGGGCGTGGAGACTGATATTTTCACATAATCCCACCAGCAGCTGCACTGTTATATTATTTTCACTGATGGATTACAACCTTTTATGTCTCTAGGATATTAATTATCGCTTTCCTTCCATAATAACTAAACATTTTGCCTATTGTTTTTGTGATTAGTTCTTTAGATTGCGTTTTAGCTGTAATTTGATGTTTAACAGCGGAGCTCTCGCGCAGGGCGAAGGCCCGCGCGAGTGGAGCACCATACTTAAGAAAAATTGGTAACCCATCGAGTTGATTTTTCATGGCTTGCCTGACGTCTTTGCTTGGCTGTAGATTATGTTAATTAAGCTTATTGTATAAAAACCTTGTCTTTTACTTTCAACGCTAAAACATGTTCAAAAACAATTACAAATGCCAATTTACTAACAAAAAAATTTCGTATTTTGCATTGTATTTTGCACTAATTTTCATTTTGTCTCAGTTGTTCTTGTCAAGTTTAACTGAAGGTATAAGCTTTTTTCCCCGAAAACTTTTGTCTTTCGTGATTCACGAATCTAATTTCTCACACATGAAAACAAATGAAAACTGGTAAATTTGAATTTCAAATCAAAATCTAGTAAATGTAAGTTTTAAAGCTTCTCGAAAAATAGTTGTCTTTTATGAAAGGAATGAAAATATTTTAATGAAGAATTAGAATAAGAAAAATATTTTACAAAATAACTGTTATAAATCTCGCATTCTCGTATTGGTTGGGAGCGCGTGCTTTATGAGAGCACACAGCACGCACGCGCCCTTGTATTTTATAAAAGAAATATAAAACTTGATCCATGATCGACTGACCATGATCATAGCACAGTGGATCTTCAGGGATCAACTAAATGCATTTATTCGTATGGTACTTTGTCCATTTTTGCAACCACTCTTATCAAAAAATATAACTCAAATTTCGTACAAAATTCTTATACTGCAAATATGCATCAATTTACGAATCATAAATTCTAAGCTAAATATTAATGCTGGCATTTACATGAACATGCATTAATTGCACTAACGTTTTTGCTGCGTCTCCAATTCCAGTGGCTCACTTGCCTGGAATCCATAAGCATTTACAGACACCACCCGCATAAGATATTTTATACCCGCATTTAGACTATTAACAGTGACTTTGGTCTTTGATGAGCTTACAGTAACACCATGGTAGTAATCCAATTCTGTGCCTTCTTTTTTGTATTGTACAAAGAACTTCGTGATTTTATACGGTGCATGGCCAAAGGTGCTGACCATTCAAGTGTCGCTGATGTATTTATCACGTCATCTACACTCAAATTTGCTGCCGGAGGAGGAGAAGCTTAAAAGAGAGACAGACAGAGGAAAATCGATTTACGAATAGCTCAAAACAATTGGAAGACATGTATTGTAAATATCAACGGTACCTTGTACAAGAAGTGACCTTGGTTCAAACACATCCACGGCTTTCCTTTTGTTTTCAAGCCCTCTCTGAATACGCCCAGTGATGTCTTGAATAGCAGGCCAAGATGGCCATAGCTTTAGCTCAGCGGTGATGATAAACTCCATGTGTTTGCTGCCATTACTATATAAGAAGAATCCGAATATATTATGAAATGTTGCCGGTGATAGAGACTTCCATAGTAGTCACTATATGCGAAACCTTGTGTTGCAAACACACGACTCAAAACTGCTCGAGATATAAATGACAAGGAAACAGTTGTGATTTTCGTTGATCTAACGAGACAAGCTATTGAGGACCTCAAAAATACAACTACTTTGGCGTTCAAATATCGGGTATTTTTTCCTATGTACGTGAAGAAGGAAACTAGGGTAATAGTAGTAATAGTAGTCTAACTAATAGACATGATGGCGTACCTCAATATCACTTTCATTTGATCATGATGGATTTTRTRRCCACYYGTCGSATKTTYGTTTYKAAGTAGTTGTAAGATCTGTAAAAAAGTAAGAGAAATGGAAAAGAGTGTAGTCGCATAATTACATATTTTCATGTTGTAGAAATATGAACAATTTATGATTTATTGAAATCAATGGATTAATTTGTCACGCAAACTGCAAGCTTCTGTTTGTTTGTTTTTATTGAATTATCTTATATAAAAATAAGTTACTCTGTACACAAGTTGGTATGTGCTAAAACAATTATTTACTGTGGACACCAAATGAAGTGAAATCCATAATATACAAAATTAAATATTTTCTAAAAAATAAAAAATAAAAATAAAAAAATTAAAAATTAAAAAAAGAAGAAAAAAAAAAAAAAGGAAATCAATGGATTAAGTAACCGTTGAAGTCAAACATAGAGTTGCTCGTTGCAGAAGCTTTTTTCCGATTCATAAGAGACACCATGACGCTAGACAGTTTGCGTTTTTTCATTGACGTTTCAAGTTGTAGGAATTGTGTGAAAAGTTTAGGATGACTGCATGTTTTTCCTATCTTACTCACACTCTAACATTTGTATTAACAGTAAAGTGTACTTTCTTCTTCATTTCAGTGTTTGTTATTCTTGCTGGTTTATAAGGCTTCGACGTGTGCTTGACTGCCACGTAGTCTGAAGGAAAAACACGTTTTGCATAGAGCTAATCAGCTAACGCGTTGCTATGTGCGTTTCCACCCAATTCAAACCACATGCGACTAAGTTTCACTGTTTGTTATATTTTTTTTTCACAGTTGAATTCGTAGCGACAAACGCTTCTATTCCCAGAAGGTTTGAATTGGGTGGTAACGTACATAGCAACACGTTAGCCGATTAGGTCTATTGTCAGAATTAAAAAGAGTCTTGGTAAAGGATATCGGGTATAAAAATTACAATCTATTGACATTGGAAACTCACACCTTTTGGCAATGTCTTGACAAAGACATGACTTGCTAGACCATCGCCATGCTCATTGGAGGCACTGAGATACTGATATACTATAGTTTGTTAATGCTTGTAGATTTCCGAAATTAAATTCCGTTATTTTTATACGATTTTCAGCTATAAGGAGCCCTTTATTGAATCTATTGATTCTGTCTTTAAATCCCCGGTCTTGACCGTGAATAAATGGCAAAGGCACTGGCTTCCATTTTATTAATATTTTACTTGGGCCAGATGATTAAGTTTGTGTGATAACAAGCGCTAGATAAGGAACTGAAAAAAAAAAAAAAAAAATTTCTCTACATCACATTACTTCCATCTTATACTACTATTAGTGGTGTTGATTACCTGAGGAGGGCATTTCTCTACATCACAGTACTCCCATCTTATACTACTATTAGAAGTGTTGATTACCTGGAGGATGACATTTCTCTACATCACAGTACTCCCATCTTATACTACTATTAGAAGTGTTGATTACCTGGAGGATGACATTTCTCTACATTACAGTACTCCCATCTTATACTACTATTAGTGGTGTAGCAGGGTTACGACACCAGTCGACGCATTGACCAGCTCTGGATACTCAGACAAAGGATGATCGTGACGGTGAGGACACTAAGATGACCAGGACTGGCACACGTGACCAGAAATTGTTATGTTTATGTTACCACGGTAACCCAGGTCGTTGCCATAGTAACAATATGTTTTGTTTAAGATAATGATATGTATAATCATACCGCCCTTTGGCGAACCCGTGGATACTAGTCTCACTTTCCAGAAATTGGGCTCCCTGTGTCCTTTTCATATTTTAAATACTCAATTTAGCTGGTAAGATGATTAGTTGTCCTTTTATTTTCCTTTTAACACCTACTCTGTTTAGCTCTTTGCTATTTTGTTGAGTTTGGAAGCGAATTCTGTGATGAATTGATTGTCTAAAGTTACTTCACTTACGAAAGACGACTTCGACTTCGACGGACTTCTATTTGCTAAGTCTTCTGAAAAACAAATTCTGAATTTTGTTATTGTTTTGTTATTGTTGTTATTAATTCAAACGGCGGGCCGAGTGCTTTATTTTAGGAATCAATCCTTTTTGGCTAACGAAAAACGTTGCGTTATGCGTTACTACTTATCTTGCACTTCATTGGTCACGGCGCTTACAATCGAATTGTTGCCTGAAATTTTCATATGAAGCTCTTTATTTAGACTGTGAACTAAGTGAATGCTTTATAGAAAATCGTTTAGAAATACAATTTTATTTGACTTCATTTAAGTCCGTAAATTACTGATTATTTATTGGAGCGAATTCTCGTTAGTGGTCGCGAGCGCCTAAACATACCAAAACATTGCTTCGGCTGTTTGTGATGTCCAACGATCAATCTACTTTTTATTCAGAACAGCTTATTTGGATGACAAAACTAGCCTAACATTCTTCAAGACTCCATGACTCTCGTTTCGAAATCTTAATGAAAAGTTCTTTTTTTGATACATCCGGCTCTACCTACGAGTCTTCTGAAAAAATTTAAATATGTTGACTAAAGTACGTAAGCGTTTCTG